GAACTTGAATCATTATGTATTTAACTCAAATTTTGCTACAACAGGCTCCGCTCTTAACTATGGGTTGTCCTTAAACTGGACATTCTTAACCCGGGGGCTACTCTGTATGTTCTAATTCTAAGAAGGCATTTATTTAGACTAAATTGTTGGTAATATTTGTCCTCGGGCCCACCTCTACATTATGCTCCTTTGCATTTCAGGAGGAAATTTCCAAGTATGACAAAATCTGTGAAGAGGCTCATGCCAGGTCCAAGGATGAAAAAATCCTTCACATCAAGCATTGGTTAGATTCACCATGGCCTGGTAAGTTACTGTCTGCTTGCTAATGGCCATGGTTAAAAAATAATTCTTGGCCAATAGATGACACTTGCAATTTCTGGCACAGAAATTAGTTGTACTTGCCTAGAACTTCCAGTTCTGAAAATTTTGTACAAAGGTCATAGGATGTAGTAAGCATTATTAATAAACAAAATGTGCTTGCATTAAACTAAGAAGTACTTGATGAAGAACTTTTGTTCATCTCACAGATGCTCTGGCAGGATGATCCAGTAGTTTAATTGGACAGGGTTTATTTGCCAAATATCTTCTCAAAAGAATTTGGCAGTTAAGGACATCTTTTTAAAGTAATTGTTCTAGTAGCTAGAGCTTGCTTCTCCTGTGAATGTCTGCTTTGCCTCTTTTTATGTCCTCTTCTTACATTTCCAGGTTTCTTCACTCTGGATGGCCAACCTCGGAGCATGACTTGTCCTTCTACTGGCTTGAATGAAGAAGATTTGGTCCATATAGGAAAGGTGGCCAGCTCAGTTCCTGTTGAAAATTTTACCATTCATGGGGGTATGGTTTTCTATATATATTTTTCCCTTGAGTTTCACTTTTTAAAGATTGCATTAGAAAATACAATGTCTTTCTTGTACGGTGGGCTCTTTTGCAAAGTTTTCTTGAAGCCTCTTAGATAGATGTTCATAACTGATGGAACAATCAGTACTTTGCTTCTCTGTTGCCTGTTTTAGTTATTGTTAACAGGATTCCATGTATAATACATCCTAGTCATAGCCAATCCAAGTTGTCAGCAAATTAAGATGAAAAGAGATTCTGTTTCAGGACTTAAGTCTTCCGGTTTTGGTCTTTTTCTACATTTTGTTTGTGCTTTGATTTATAATAGCCTTACCTGAGCACCCTCTAGGCACGTGGGTTTCAGCTCCCAGAATTCCACAGCCAGCATGGTCACTGGAATTGTAGTACATACATTCTGGAATTGCAGTACATACATCTGAAGGGTACTCAGGTTATGGAAGTGATCTATGATGCAATATTATTTACTATGTGTTACCTGAAGCGATAGACTTTCAGAACATCTGTAAACACATCTCTACATTTTGGAAAAGGCTGCCATAAGGTTTTCAAGCAGACTGAAGACAATTATTTTTCTCTGAAGGTTTAAGTAGGATTCTAAAAACACGTGGAGAGATGGTTGCCAATAGGACTGTAGACTGGGCCTTAGCAGAATATATGGCATTTGGCTCACTTCTTAAAGAAGGAATCCATATTCGGCTGAGTGGACAAGATGTTGAAAGAGGAACATTCAGGTAAAGTATTTTGACCACACATAGGCAATATTTCTTTTACCAATACAGAGCTTTAGTGAAAATTCCTTAAATTAGGGGGCAAATGCAAAGTACCAATGTAACATTATGCCGGGCTTAGGTCATAATAGTGAGCAGCCAGATATGTAGCTTTGTATCTCCCTTCTAGGGCCTGTAGTAGGAAGGACATCAAATCAAGCCAATGAGAATGCCCTCCTATAATTAGGAAACTTGATAGGTATCTAGCAGGTCTAAGGAGAGTAAACAAATCTTTGGAAAGATATGCCTAGTCTAATTGGATATCAGTACCCAAATGTGCAAAGTTGTGTTAAAGAAAATCCAAAAGCTCCTTTTTTTTTTTTTTTTTGCCTATTGCTTTAGGCCAGGATGACACAAAGTTGTCAATAAGGATCCAAGATATCAGACCTAGAGGGGCAAAGTATATTTTGGCCCAGTATGTGAAGGTGTATAACCAGGCATTAATTGCATTAATCCTGTTGATGTTGACCTCACTGCAAACAACTGTGTTTGTGACACAGCAGGGGACTTTAAATATGTTCCTAAGAAATTTGGTCCGAACTCTTTGTAGAGGACCAAAGGAACTGCATGGGTTGTGCTCTAGCTTTAACTGAGTATACCTAGTGTGCAGCTGGGATGAGTCAAGCCCCTTTAGTACAGAAATTGATTGCAATGTGTCTGGCTCACTAGGTGTTTTGTATAACATATTCTTTGTGCATTGTGCTTGAGATTGTGGCATGGAAAACTACGCCTAAGTATTTAAACAACTTAACCTGCTCAATAGAATGATTATTTAGAGTCCAAACATGATAGCATTTCACAAAGACCATCACCTCGGTCTTGTAGTTGATTTCCAGAGCTTTAGAAACACAATAATTGGCCAACACTTGTCAACACTTAGGCCCATCAGGGAAAGTTACGCCACATTATCCGCATGTAATAGGATTGAAATATGTTTCTTGGCTAGTTTTGGTGGGTGATGAGAGAGGCTGTTCATCATGGCAACTAGTGCATTAATATAATAGTCAAACAACAATGGGGCAAGAATACAGCCTTGTCCGAGTCCTCTATTAACAGGGGTCTCACTGGTATAGTGTCCTGTGGAGCTTTATCTAACTTTTATGGTTGTTTTATTATAGAGATTATAGATTAGTAATAGCAGCCTTCTGTCTGTGGAAGAGTTTTGTAATTTGCACTACAGTTTGGGTCTAGAAATCAGATTTAAAGCTGCTTTGAAGTCTATGAAAGCTGCATAGAATGAAGCCCGTGGTTTGGGCTTTTCTGCCAGGGATTTGAATAGCATTTGTACCTGTATTGTTCTTCAGCCATCGGCACCATGTCTTGCATGATCAGAATGTTGACAAGAGAACCTGTATTCCCATGAATCATCTGTGGCCAAATCAAGCTCCTTATACTGTCTGCAATAGTTCTCTCTCAGAATATGGAGTCCTAGGTATGTCCTTTCCCTACTAAGATGTAAGGGAGTTAAATTAAACTGTTGATTTTTAAGTCTATCTCCCGCTAATAATCTTTTCCCCTGAAAACATGTTTTCCATTTGTATCACTGCAGGATTTGAGCTAGGCTTTGCGATGGCCAGTCCCAATGCTTTGGTGTTATGGGAAGCTCAGTTTGGTGACTTCCACAATACAGCTCAATGTATAATTGACCAGTTCATCTGCTCTGGGCAGGCCAAGTGGGTGAGGCAAAATGGCATTGTACTTCTTCTTCCCCATGGCATGGAGGGCATGGTAAGGAAGCATATCTATTGTTAATAATTCTCCTTTTACCTGCCTGGTAGATTTAGACTTAAGATCTATATTTAGACTGTGCTAGATTAGATCCCACATATAGACCATTTGCCCCACAGTGAAAGTTCTTCTATAGGTTGAAGTAGCCAAATGCATTAGGTTGTGTCTACATAACAAAATTGAAAATGAGAAGTAATATTAACTTTTGTTCCGATATCAGAGCAAGTTCTAATGGTACCTTGGAAAATGCATACTAGTGTATACCAGAATTTGGGATTTTGAGTTCCGACTGATTTTATTATTGCTTGTTTGTTTATTATTTTTTACACCTACCTTTTCTCTAAGTGTCTCAAGGCATCATACATTGGCTGACTCCTCATTTTATCCTACAACAAGAACCTAGCGAGGTAGGGCAAGTGGCCCAAACTAATCCAGCTAATTCCATCATCAAGAGGGGATTTGAACATGGCTCTCCCTACTTCCAATCCAGTATTCTAACCACTGCCCCACAGCAGCTCTCCTTCTAGAAGAAATGCTCAGTTTTGCCAAATGCTCAGTTTTGCCTCTATGTCTTGTTTGGCCCCCCAAAAAAGCTATTACTCTTGAAAGTACCCTTGTCTGTTTGCAGGGCCCTGAGCATTCTTCTGCTCGACCAGAACGATTCCTGCAAATGTGCAATGATGATCCAGATGTCTTCCCGGTGAGTTGGCTGTGAGTGCACGTTGGCTGCACCTTTCTTCTGTCAACACGTCCCCTAGCCAGATTTCTAAGAGTGCTGAGAAGGGTTTCTGGAAAAATCAGTCCAGTATCATCTTGTTGTAGACTGATTGGCTCCTCACTGTGTCCCTGAACTCTCTGTAATCATATCAGTGGTTTATGTCAGGGTAGGTGACCTGAGATATCATGGATGTGTACTGCCTACAGCCCCCAACCTGTTTAAAAAGTGTCATGGATTCCTAGCATTTTGAGATGGGCAATACAAAAACTAATAATGCTTACAAGGAAAAAAAAATCCTCCCCAAAATATCTGGCCATCCCTAATTTTGATCTCACCCCACCTTGTTTAAGTTGTCCCCTGCGTCCCCCCCCCACCTTTCTTCACAGTTGATTTTCAGGTTCTTTGACTACTTTGGCTGTGCATGCAATTATTCTATCTTTCTGAACTCCGTCATCATTTTCCTACAGAAACTGGATGACTTTGATGTGCGCCAGCTCTACGACTGCAATTGGATTGTCGTGAACTGCTCCAGCCCAGCAAACTTTTTCCACGTTGTGCGGAGGCAAATACTTCTCCCCTTCCGGAAACCAGTTAGTATGAAGAATGACTTCCTTAGCATAGAGAGGGACATGTGTCCTTGCTTCTCCCAATGTAGCTTTCTAGCTCTAATTAGACCCTGAAGTCAAGTAGAGAGCAGTACATGATACATTGTGAAATAATTCTCAACTTATCACTAGTCAAGGAAAAATACACTACTGGATGGGAGAACTATAACTGAAGAATAATTTGCAAAGAGCTTGTTTTGCTTGGTGGATTCTGATTATCCTGCAAGTTCTGTTTCTTGGTATTTTTATAGCGCCTTGTTCACCACTGGGAGGTCTCTTTCTAATAAAAGCTACTGGGCAAATGATTTCACTTCCTCATTGAACCTCATGCCATATACATATTCATGCCTTGGAAAGGCTGATTAGCTAGTTACAGCTGATATGGTTTACTGAATATTAATATCCTATTTTTCAGGCAAATTATTTTAAATTATACCTTACAGAAGATTGTAACCCAACGACCCTGGAGCCCTTGTTTTTCTGACTGATCAAAAATATTTTTTTTCCAGCTATAGTTATATTTCAAATGTGGTCACCACCCATCTCACTACAGAATGACTCTGGGCAGTTTACAGTAAAATATATATAGTATTTATATACATCTGATATATAATATCAGAGCAATTGAACTGAGTGGCAGATATGAATGGAATATCAAATACAGGTAGTCCTCGCTTAACAACCCTAATTGGGACCAGAATTTCCATCACTAAGTGATATGGTAATTAAGTGAAGCATCACATGACCACACCGCTTAGTGACAGCAGTTTTAGTAGTCCCAGTTACAGTCGTTAGGCCAGGACTTCACAATTCTTCTGCCCTGTTGCACTCCCCACCACTTCAGCTACCTCCACCTGCCTATCTATCCCCCATCTCTGCCCTTTCGCCCACCCTGCGCTCTGCCACCCCTACTGTCCTGCACTCCACCACCTCTGCCACCCTGCACTACACTGCTCCTGCCGCCCTGCACTCCACCATCCCCACCAGCCTGCATTCCACTGCCCTACGCTCTGCCACCCCTGCTGTCCTGCCGCCCAGTGCTCCATTGCCACTGCTGCCCCCGCTGCCCTGTGCTCCACTACCCTGCATTCTGATGCCCCTGCTGCCCTGCATTCCGTCCTGCATCTCCATTGTCCCTATCCTGCTGAATTTCACCATTTTCTTCTTTCTGCTGCTGATGAGGCATACCAGCAGCAGCCAGCAGCTGCTTCGTGAAGGACCAGGCCAGGCATGCCTTGTCAGCAGCAGGAGAAAGAAGACCCAAACATCAGCTGGGAGTGGCAGGGGCAGTGGAGTGCAGGGCTGTGGGGGTGCAGGGTGGAGTGCAGAGCAGCAGAGGTGGCAGAGCACAAGGCAGCCAAAAGGGCAGAGATGGGGAGGAGATAGGTGGGGGGAGAGTTGAAGTGCATCCTGTGGTTGTACATGCAGGCAAGCTGCCAAGTGCCCAAATTTTGATCACGTGACTGCAAGGGCACTGCTGCAGCCATAACTTTGAGGACTATTGTAACTTTGAACGGTTGCTGAACAAATGGTTGTTAAGTGAGGACTACATATACAGTGTTAGCAGATTGAAGCAGCCAGAATGGATCCAGTCCAGCATCCTGATTCCAATGTCCCTTAATCCAGTGCTTCTGGAAAGCCAAGAAATATAGGCTTAAGACTATAGCCCTCCCTCATAGTTACCCCTTTGACATCCAGGTTTTTAGCTTCTGAAGATGGGAAACCTGCATAGCCACTACAGTGCTGCTAGATGAATTTTAAAGCCATCTTAGCCAGATCCATGAATGTCTGCTGGCATTCCTTCTATTCCTACCTTCTTGAGGCTTTCTTGCTTCAGAGCATTGTGTTTACTTTGCTAGTCCGAGTATGTTACCAGTCCAAAAGCAGAACCACAGATCCAAAATAATTCAGGATCTCTATAGCATCCCAGCAGGTGCACATTTTGAATTTCACTCAAGCACCATTTGTAGTCTTATACGAGATTAGGGATTACAAATCAAACACTTTCATGGTATCCCTAAACATATTGGTACTGAAGGGAGCACTTTGATTGTTTTGCATTCAGGCTAAATGTCTCACTGATGAGTATGAAAATTAATTGATCCTGATATATAGCATCATCTTATTGTGTGGTTTGTATTTGGTCTTTGGTCAGTTCTCTCCTAGTAACTTCAGGTGCAGTTCTAATGATATATAAAAGCAAAACCTTTGAATAACTAACTTCGAATTATTGGTCTTTCACTGAATTCTGAACACTTCGGTTCTTACGCTCGATACTAATTCGGGGTTGTGTTCCCCGGGCCCCTTCTCTCCCTCCCTCTCTCTCTCTTTTAGCTGATAGTCTTCACTCCAAAGTCATTGTTGCGTCACCCCGAAGCTCGGTCCAGCTTTGACGAAATGCTGCCAGGTACAGCAGGCATGGGATCGGGGTTAGGGAGGAACGTCTTCTCTTGCAGGAAGGAATATATGACTTAATAATTAGGCGAGGACATAGTAAATGTGATATGGAGCAGCTGTGTCCCTAATAAAACCTGAACTATTTTTCCTGTTTTTAAAGAAAGCAAGCTTCACTTATTAGTTTTTAAGCTTTAGTGTCAAATCTATTGCCAGATTCCTATAACCTGAGCAATTCATGGAACTAGAAAAATAGTCAGAAAAGTTTCTTTAAAAAAAAAAAAAATCACCTTAGGGGACTATTAAAGGGATTTGCTCCCTTTAAAAACTCTATGTTTTGCTATGGGCCTGACCTCATATGGGTTGAGGTCAGGCCCATATATCTGAGCTTGTTAGGTGAATACTGGATAATTTCCTAACAAGCACTTGAAAATGCTACCAGAATGATTTATGGTAACAAGCCAATAACACATTTACTTGATCCACTGGGGTTTTATTCTCTGGTATTGCTGAGATCTAGTCATCCATGGGACTCTCTTTCAGTCTTAGAATTTGTCAGCCATGAGTACCAGTCACCCTCCTGGCCTATACTAATGTTCAGGCACCAGGCTAGAAAACAGGAGGCGGTGAGTTCTAGTCCAGCCTTAGACGCATAAAAGCTGGATGGGTGACTTTGGGCCAGTCCCTCTCCCTCAGCCCAACTCACCTCACAGGGTTGTTGTGGTGGGGAAAATAGCAGGAGGAAGGAATATTAGGTATGTCCACCGCTTTGAGTTATTTATTAAGATAATAAAGGTGAGATAAAACAAATCTAAAAGAAAAGATACTCTGCCGTTAATTTTGTCCTTGGTAAGCTTAAGTAACTGCTTATGACTTCCTGATTTGCCCGCATCTCCATATTTGTCCTCTTCGTCTTTTTTCTCAGTCTTCAGTTGTGACTTATAAGTGCCTTGGAACAGATTTTACTATGCACGCTGACGTATAATGAAAAGTAATAACCTGCACTGCATTCCAGGCACCCATTTCCATCGTGTCATCCCGGACACTAGTCTGGCAGCGCAGAACCCAGAACAGGTCAAGCGAGTTCTCTTCTGCACTGGCAAAGTCTATTATGAACTCACTCGAGAGCGGAAGGCACGGAATATGGAAGCAGATGTGGCCATCACAAGGGTAGAGCAGGTAGGGCCCTTGTGGGAATTGTACTGGTGACTTACAAAAGTAGGCCTCCTGGGTGCTTTTTTGAGGTCTGGACAATAAGTATTTCAAAACTCAGTAGAATTTTAGGAAGACGAAGCTAAAGAATTCCAAACTAATATTCCAAAATTCTATAGCTGGATGACTAAGCATTCCACTGGCGAACGTAAAATTTAACTATCAGGCATATTCTAGTCATCTAGTTTTGTTCGGTGGACTGCAGTTCTGAAGTAGAGTCAGGTTGTTTTTTTTTGCAGTGCTTTGCAGGTTTCTGATGGACAGCTGGTTCTGAAAAGAATCCTAAAAGGTTTATGCAGCAAATATCTCAGTAGGTCTTATGGATTTACTCTTCACGCCTCCTAGCGTGTGAGCCAATATGGAGGTTAGAGTGTGAGTGATCTGATTTTGCCTGCAGGATATTGGGATTAGGCCCAACTTATTACTAAATTAAAGTCCTTTCTTGGCCTTAAAAACTTCTTAAATTTCAGATATATTGCAGCTTTTTTTTTTCCTTTTTAAGAAAAAGATCTACTTAACTGTGTAAATGTCTTATAGCTTGAATGCTTGTTTTTCCATTTCCCCACACCCAGCTTGTGAACCAGATTGACCTTTTTGTTTTCCTGCTGCAATTTGTTTATAAGGTAGAAGGCTGAAAATCATTTGTAATAAGCCCAAGGCCTTTTATTTCTAGCTGTCGCCATTCCCTTTTGACCTCCTGCTGAAGGAATTCCATAAATACCCCAATGCAGACCTAGTTTGGTGTCAGGAAGAGCACAAAAACCAAGGATATTATGATTATGTGAAGCCTAGACTCCGCACAACCATTGACCGTGCAAAGCCAGTGTGGTAAGTGGTGTCTTCTGGTGCTCTGATGGAGGTACAAGGTTGATATAGTTGCTCTGGCATAGTCAGTCTAATTCTACTGAGGGCACAGGAGTGGTCCACTCTAGAAAAAGAGGGAAAGGAACAACATGGCTGACTCAGAGGGACTCAGTAGCCTAGCCCTTACTTTTGGGCACCGGACTCAAGAGGGGAGAAGCCTAAAGCAACAGCCCCCCAAATGCTGTACATGACAGTCGATGAGCACGAGCAGCAATTGCAGGTAAGCATTTGTGTTTCTGCTTTTCCCCCCTCTAGGTACGCTGGCCGAGAACCTGCTGCTGCCCCAGCGACAGGCAACAAAAAAAATCACTTGACCGAACTGCAGCGCTTGCTAGACACTGCCTTCAACCTCGACTCTTTCAAGGGCTTGTCTTAGATCCACCTGGACCTGGTTCTCTCCCAGCACCCTGTGTTTGTGGTGTTTCTGTCTATCACTTCCTTTCTGTGTCCTTAACTATAGACCTTGTAAACTAACTTAAGGAGTCTGTTATTAACCTCTCCTTGCTGTTAAAGAAGTACCCCATCAACAATCCCTGTCTGGATATTTGTGTTAAGTTTTCTGAGTGTTGCTGCAGCTCAAATTTTCTGGAGCAGTGTGGGTTCACTCCTGCACAAACCCCTGGAGCAATCCTGCTTTACTGCTCCAGGATGAGAGCTTTGAAGGGACTAATATTTGCCTTCCAAAGGAACCTCTGGAGGGAAGCTATGGTGGCTTTCAGTTAATGCCTGATTCTTGATTTTAATCCCAAAATGAATCTGGAGCTGGCACTGCTTTTGGGCCCAGCAAGTAGCGAGACAAATTATGATTCTCATCCCCCTTTCTGCTCAAGATAGGTTTGATCTGGTATAACACTTGCACTGAACCTTTTTCCTTAAGCTCCACACCTCTGACACTGAAAATCCTGGTTCACAGCCTGTTCTACTGCTGCCATTTAGCAACTAGTATTGTCTTTACTAAACATACAGACACGGCTCCTTGAGGGATTTTTTTTGGAAGCCTTGTTCCTTTTCATGAAGGAAGCAGAGTAATCTGCAAGGCACAGACTCAGTTTCTTGTTTTACAAAATTGTAACTCTTACTAATTCAAATCACATTCTGGATGAGGACCTGTTGGATATTGGAATCTAACACATTTTTTTACATAGTCTCCATAGCCATAACTATATGGGCCTTCAGCTTCACTTAGCTTTCAGCTCTGACTCTGCATCTAGAAAAGAGTACACCTGAAAATTACAAAAATTCATTGGGTTCTAATGTCCCTTCTAAGAAAACGTATAGATGCTTAGCTCTTCTTTTGGCTCTGTAATTCTATATCACCAGTAAAAGTTGCTTTTTTCTGTTCTGTCCCTTGAGCAGAAAGACAATCTTTTTTTCCCCTCACAGTGTATACCACCCATTTTTCCCCAAATTTCAGGCAAAGATGGTCAACATTTGCTTTACACTCATTTAATTTGGGGGGTATAATTCTTTCACAGCATTTACTTGGGGGTTTAGCAATGCTTTAAGAAGTACTTGTATATATGGGAATGACAGATTTAAAAAGTCTGAAAATCCACTTTTTGCCCATATAATACTTTAATTTGAAGAAACCTGGATCATAACTTGTGTCATGCTATTGATATACAGCCACAAGTAATTTTTCAGTCATGGTTTCTATCATGTGTAAGGTTTTCTGTGCACACAGATACATGGGTCAATAGATTGATATATATATACACACCCCCACACACACACACAGTTTCTGAAATACCATTTAACCTATGTTGTCTTAGTATTATGGGCATAAACTGTAAACAGAGGTTAGATCTTGTGCACTTTTGATTGGAGAAACAACTCATATTGCCTCTTCACTGTACAATTAATGCCATTGGTCTTTGCCATTTCACTTCTGATGAGTGAAATCAGTTACACTTGAGGGCTTAAAACAAAGAAGTTGGGAAGTAATTCCAAACATCCATTCTGTCAGTATCTCCAACTTGGTTTGTCCTTGTCTTCTACCTTTTGGAGGTTTCCCAGGCACTGAGTTTCCTTGGCTTTTTCAGCACATACTTTGCTATATAAAGGTAGTAGCATTCTAAGAGTACTGAAGGGATTCCACCTAAACCTGAAAGTTTCTACTTCTTAATTGAAGCACGCAATGGAAAATTTAGATTGGCTTTACTTGTGCCAATGTTCCCTCTCATCCACCTAAAGTCCAAAGCTCAAGAACCATCACTGTTCAACATGAGCACACATATCCTTTGTGGCAGGGACTAATACTGTTGTTCAGCACCTTTTACCCATTCGAGAACTGGTGGCTGCTCCCAGGTAATGGGGTTGTAACTGCCAGCAGTTAAATGTACCTCAGTGATTTGGTTGAGGACAACAGCAAAAGACTTTCTTGGCCAAGGCTGTTCATGTGGTAAAATCCTGAAACCAGTAGTGCCTGCTTTGGACTTGAAATGCAGCACATGCAGTTTTGCTTTTTCTTCTATGTATGAACGGGTTCTGTACTGATCTCCTAAGCTTCTAAATGGCATGGTTCTATCCTATGTCAGTGTTCCATACCTACATACATGCATACACAAAGGCTGTGCATGCCTTGAAGATCATTTGGAATGCCTCAGACCTTGCCCAAGCACAATGCCTCGTTGCTGTTTATTAAATCCTCATGTCTTTTTCAAGTTTCCACATGTAAGTCTGAAACAAAGATGTGGCTTCTTTAAGAGGAACATTACCCTCAATGAGTTGGATGTACCTTTGTCAAGCTTGCCTAGATGCCTGGAAAAAAAAAGATAGGCAATGTTAAGGAATAGCAGAGAAGAGCTGTGTTCTTGCCAGTTCCAGAGCACTTCTGAATTATTTCAGACCATGCACAGCCCAGAGAGAATAAGAGATTCCTGGTTGCTGCCTTCAGTGGGATATGCCCAACATAGGTTCCATCTGGTTAAATTCTGGGCATGGCCCAAAAGTGCAGCTTCTGTCATGCCACCATTTTTGTGTGCTGCCAGCCGTACTGAAAGAGTGAGCCATCTTATGAATAAAGACTTTATATATCTCTGCTGCTTTGCTAGTGGAAACAGCATGTTCCAAGCAATTCTGGCCATTGAGACAGGTTTTGTCTGGTTACTCCAAATGATGGTGCAGTGTATGTTCTTTTAGCTCTGCAAAAGAAGAAAGGGGGGGGGGGGAAATGCTGGTGTGCCTAGCTTTTGCCAAAGCCAGAGACTGGTGAGGGAGAAGGTTTGACTGTTCTGGACCAGCTCTGTTCTGGATCTCCTGTCACCTCACAGCCTGACTTATTTATTTTGGTTTTAAAATAAAATCAAACTGAGATGTGTTTGGCTTATACAATAAAGCCTGAACTTCTGGCTAAAGTGTGTCCAGCTGGCTTAGTTGTCTGAGATTGATTCTTTTACTCAGTGCAAAAAGGACAGCCTGATTCAACCTTTCTCGGCACGTAGAATGAACCTCGGTAAGGGACCGTTCAGGCTGCAACTTGGCGGACTCAGTGCTGCGAACAGGGAAGGCAATACTGTAGATTATCCTTGCCTCAGTGACATGTCCCAGCTGGTGTACAATGAACCCTCTTGATTCTGCACTGGAAACCACTCATCTCCAAACAATGCCACTAAAAGCACTTGTGGCATTTTGAAGGCGTCCTCATATGTAAGGATGTATCTCATTGCTCAAAGAGGCAGCAGTGTTGTTACCCATTCAGTATGGACATTGGATGGTTCTTCTCTTAAAGGTAGAGCACCTCTTAAAATCCAGAAATGTCACAGACTATAGTCCTAAATCAGAACTACTATAAAAAGCTGGGCAATTAAAATAGCAAGTATACAACAATTTATCCCATGAAGTATCATCAAAAAGAATTGTAGTTAATTGTAACCATAAAGCAAGGGAACTATATCTCAAGGCAGCTATTTCATCAATGGAAGCATTTGTATTGCAATACAGGCTCATTAACCTACTGCATTCAGTGGAGTCAGGGCCTATAATGGGACCCATGAGTGAGTGAGTTCCAAGTTTCTCTCATGGAGCTGCAAATCTAATATTCTGTCTTTCTGTACTGTACTACAGCTATCAAACACAGAAAATTACTTATTTTAAGAAAGAAAGTTTGTATAAGCATGGGCTCATCTATAATTATGTAAATTGACACTAATACATTATGGCGCAGTTTGATGCAGATTAGGACTACAACATTTAATGCTACAATTGATAATTTGCCATCAGTATTTTAAAACATTTTAACATGGGCTTATAGCATGTTAATTTTGACAACAAAAACTAATTTAATTAGCATTTTCCCCCAATTCACATCTCAGGAAATTTAAGATGGTACTTCTTGTAATTGTATGCAGGTATCAGCAAAGAGATCATAATCTACAGCTTCTGGCAGCCAATGGTTTGCTTAACCTTTGGGTAAAACACACTTCTGTAATCTGTTACGCTGAAAATTGCTAGAGGAAGGGTTTTTGTACCTGCTTGTGAAAAATGCCTGCATAGTTCCAACAAGATTATTTTTGTTTGGACTGCAGCATAGGAAGAAGATGCACATTTTATCTGTGCTGTGATGCTCACCCCTCAGGAGACAGTACAAGTGCTAACTAATGCAAAAATACATTTAACCAAATGCGTGGGCTGGCCCTCCAGTGGGGTTAGTAGATTGAAAAATCGAAAGTGTGATCCCTTTGCAAATAGTGAATGGTTCAGTTTGTCCTTGGCAGAGATGCAGGAGCAGCAGTAAGTTGCTTATTGATCTTCGAAGGTTCTTGCTTATTCCTTGACCTATTTTCATTTGGGTGAAGGTTCTTGGATTATATCATATGGTGTCTGATGTGCTGAGAATAAGCTAAGAGCACTGCATTTCTTTCCTCTTCATACAATCACCTTATTATTTTGATGTGTTCACATTAAGTCCAGTCAAGATTTAATGCTGCATTTGCACTACTGATTTCCCTGAAAGTGTGAGTTTGGGAAATCTACACTTTAAGTCTTGTCTCACATGGAGACTTCCTGCATGGGTCATTTTCTTAGCATCTTTTTTTTCCTTCTCCATTTGGGGGCATCTGTACCAGCCTGCCAAGTGACCTTGCAAAGATTACAAATGTATTTTTTTAAGCCTGTTAACAGCACTGCCATCCACCAAGAACAGAGAGCAAAGCAACAGTGTCAAGATGAACTTTGTATGCAGAACAGCTTATGAGAAAAGAATTTGAGAAATGCTGTTATCACATCATGAAATACCATATGTACCTTTTAAGTGATGACCCTGAAATCACATCTTGGTAGATTCTCTTATGTAACTTTTAGACTAAAGTACTGCATTCAGTTCCCCATGGATTTTATCAGTGGGTCCCTTGACCATGTAGATTTAGAGCAACTTTTCCCTTACCGTTGAAGGAGGAGGACCGCATCAGTATGGTATCCAAAAATCATAAGAAATCTGGTAGCACCTTTTTAGACTAACAAAATAGTCTGGTATCTGCTGAAGTGAGCTACAATTCAGGAAAACCTGTTCCTTTTTTTAAAAAAAATGCCTTAGTCTGGAAAGATGCTGCCAGATGATTCCTCATTTTTCCTCTGCCAGTTGCCTTCCAGGGACTGTAAGCCCCAGGGTTGCCAGCCAGCATGATCAGCAGCTAAGAATTCTGGAAGCTTGCATTCCACCATCAGGAGAACCCGCAGGCTGAAGAAGACTAACTTAATGATATCATGTAATATAATGTGGTACTGCATTTTTCTATTTCATTTCTGTCAGTTCCATCAAAGCAGTGTAATGATCCTCTATCTCTGGAGTGGCTGTGTGCATATGTCCTATTGCAAGGAGCTCCTGCTGAACATGTTCCGTCCATCTACCATTTTCCATGAGTCCAGCCTATGCCAAAGTGGTGAACTTTGGATGTTTTGGTCTATTTTCCCTCCCATCATCCCTAAGTTTTCTGCCAGCTGGAACTAATGGAAACTTCTGCCTCAAATGTTTTGAAGGCATCTGGTTTAGGGAAAACTTAGTTCCTGCCTTTCAGGAATAATGCATAGTATTGGCTACAGGACAGGGTGGTGCTTAACTTTTTGGAAATGTCCAGACCAGGAAGGTATTTTCTTTCTGGTGAGTTGGTCACCCAAGACCTTTTTTAAAGAAGCACTAAAGTATTTTATTGAAGTAAACCAGATCCTCATATAATTATTATTCAGTTTTAATGAAGCACTAGATGGCAGCAGATTATTAGCATAGATGCAAGACAATATCTTTTATGGAACCAAACATTATTTTAAAATACGTATATTGCAGAAAATACTTGAGTTCTACAGAAGACTTCAACCAAAATAAATGCTCAGAGTACAGGAAGTATTTGCACTTGTTATATCTCGTGGAAAAATCAAAATGTTCTAGGACAGAAAGCTGCAGGTAACTCTGTCGTCTCTCTCACCAATTGCTATGGGAGAAATTACATAACGTTACTATTTATTATGAACAGGAGGACAACTTTGCAATAGTGTTTTACTCCACTGCTGAGTTGTTGTACCTTTTGAATCAGCCTAGATTTCTTGCTGGAACTGAATGTCATTTCCCCCTCCCTTAAGTTGAATTGAAAAAGAATGCAGTACCGTTGACTGCAGATGGCACAGTTTTATTATACTACACTTAATTTGACTACCAAAAAAGTTAGGATTATTATAAAACATAGGCGCTGGCTATTAACTATAAGAAACCAAAGGGTTTGTTTGTTTTTTAAATAAGGAAACCTAAAACAAATGACAGCTAGAAAGATAGGATATGGAACAAGTTTGGTCTTGAAAATATCTGGGGTCTTATTTCTATTTGTTCTTTAAGCGGAACACTTACAAGAAGTCTGAGTTGCCTAGGTATGAAGAATTACACACAGCCTTTTGAAAGACAATCCCAGGACTTCCAAGATATATAGTAGGAGCTGCTTATAAATTTAGAATGGGGGTTAAATACAAGAGCAAGCATTGCAGATGGTTTCTCACTGATGGCACCTCTGCACAAATGACTCAGTGCATTGACAATCTGATTTTAACGGATGCTTATGCATACAGCCAGAAGAAGTGTTCTTCCAGGATGACACACATTTGGGGTTTGACCAGCCTCCATGTCTTCAGTGCAGTGATCACAAAGTAGTAATCACAAAGTATACAATACAGGAAGTAGACTAAATTGACTGGATGTAGTCTTCCCCAGCTGCAGTAGTACACCAAATTCCATCAGTCTAGCTAGCCTGGGCAATAGGTAAGGGATGACGGGCAGTAGTCCAAAACCTCTGGTGTGTAAGAGGTTGGGTCAGGCTGTTCTGCAACGTCCCTCTTCCAGAGACATCTGTCTGCAAGGGTTTGCTCCTTCCTCTGGCAATAGCATTAATGGCATATCAGGAAGCTTGCAGAGGTGACAGGAAGGGCTTGGCTCTTCCCTTGATGGGTTGCTTTCTCAAGTGTGCTGGATTGGGAAGCACTTGAGATCATTCAACTGGAGCTGTCCTGCCCATATGGGTGAAACTCCAAAAGGCACCCTTTAGACCAGCGTTTCTCAACCAGGCTGGCTGGGGAATTCTGGGAGTCGAAATCCACACATCTTAAAGTTGCCAAGGTTGAGAAATGCTGCTTTAGACTGCGGCCAACATTAATGCTTAGAATGCCTCCATCTTCATTACACCCTGGGGAATCCTTTAAGGTAGCATCAGGGCTCTTGTCTTTCCCAGATTTGTACAAGGGTCTTTTATTTTATTCTGGTCCTTGTAACAGGACAAAAGCTGAAGGTGACTCCCATACCATCATTCCCCCAATGTTAACAAATAAAAATCAATGGTAATTAATATAATGTAACATAAGGTCAATGAAGCCAAGTGGAGACAAATTGAAAAGCTGGAGGCCAATTCAAGGAGCAATTCAAAGACAGTGGAGGCAGTGCCATAGGGCAAAAGAACCCCAGAGCCAGGGTGTCCTCAGAGAGAAGCTATGATCTCTGGTGATCATTCAAGTTACCTCTGGAGGCGCTGAGAAGTACAGAAGTGCCTGCATTAAGTGGCCAGTTCCAGCCAGTGGGGATCGGGGAGGAAAGATCGGTGCCTTGGCTGCTCCCTTGTGAGGTGCCACGGGATTGGTTTCCTCCCCCCTGTCATTTAACATCTATATGAAGCCACTAGGGGAGGTCCTCTGGCAGACTGGGGTCCGGTATCGTCAGTTTGTTGATAATATCCAGTTGTACATCAGAGCCTCAGGTCCCAATGGGGACACGGTTTTGTTTTGTTTTATTTTATTTTATTAAGATATGTTGGATGCTATCTTAAAGCATGACTCTGGGCAGCTCACAACAAAACCACAAAACCATAAAACAAAAACTACACACCCA